GTATGATGAATTGCACATCCCTGCCTTAGTTCCTGAATGCTTCCTCCCCCATGATCCAGTTCTACCTTGCAAATCTGGCTAGATCAGAAACACATATTGATACAGATACGAGCTCTCGACACATGGAATTCAGGACAGATAATCCCCTTAGGAATAGTCGTGGGAGTAGTGATATGAGGGGAGGGGAAGGGGAAGGGAGGGAAAGGGGGAGCCCATCACAAGGTTGAATATATATTCTCCCCCTGAAGGGGATGAATAACAGAAATGTGGATGAAGGGAGACAACGGACAGAATAAGATATACAAAATAATAACAACATATAACTGATCATGAATTCATGAGAGTGGAAGGTGGGGGCGGGGGTAGGGAGAGGAGCTTATACTGAGAGCTCAAGTAGAAAATGTTTTGGAAATTATAATGGCAACATATGTACAAATATGCTTGATACAATTTATGTATGGAGTATTATAAGACCTGTAAGAGCCCCCAATAAAAGTGATTTTTAAAAAAAGAACTTTATTTTGGATGGGAGCAGAAGCTCAAAAGAGACAAATGACTAAAAAAGAGAGAGAGTGAGAACTGCTGATGTTGAAACACTGTAGTCCAAGGTATTTGGAGCACTGACCGACATCGGAAAAAGGGATCTTCAGAATAGAAATATGGTCATTTTGTCTTCGCTAGCCCTTCCAAAAGAGACTGACTTACTTTGAATTCATCATCCAAGGGCTAGCAGAAGGCTTCGTGGTACGTGCTCCAATGTCCTTGATCTTCTCCAGGTCCGAGAACTCATATTCTTACAGGGAGTCTCAGCTTTAAAGAATCTCATCTAATCAATAACATTTTACTCAATGATCTGGCCTATAAATATTCTCCTGGGCATTTGGAATGATTGATTTTTTCCTGGTCTGATAAAATGATTCTGAAGGCTATGAAAAGCATGCCATTAGCCTGATAATGTGCATGTTGGCAAACCCTAGAAAGTCGATTCTGGGCCCATCTATTGTACCCAGCTTCATCACATCCAGGAAAAAGAGTTGCTTTAAAATTTATAAACGAATAAAGTATGCTGCTTTATCATTTATTAACTGGGCACCTTAGAGCCCAGGTCAGCTTTGAATCTGGCTCTGCTTTGACTCATTCTGTCACCTCTCCATCTGGAGAACGAGAGCCTTCAGTCGGCCTGGGCTTCAGTGCTTGATGTTCCGTCCTTCTAGTGCAGGAAACGTGGCACTGCGTTGCTATTGGATTTTCTTTTGGAGAATATCTCTATTGTAAGGACATCTGCCACGGTTTCTCACAGTCTGGATAATTTACAGCGAGATGATTTGTTGACAACTGTGTTCCTGTCCATGGATCCCTAGTAGTGGAGTAGATTAAGAATTGGGCTGCTCACCATCAGGCCAGTCGTTCCACTTACCAGCCACTCTGTAGGAGAAAATAGGAGGCTTTGTGCTCCCATAAAGATGTTTAGCCTCCGAAACCCATAGTGGCAGTTCTGTTCTGTTCTACAGGGACTCTGAGTCAGAATCGACTCCGTGGCAGTGAGTTTGGTTTGGGGTTTATAGGAATGTCTGTGTGGCACGAGATCCTGCTAGAACTATTCACAAGGGCATTGTTGCAGTGGCTGAGATGAAGGTGGCCAGCACCATGTGGAACTGACAGGCTGAGTAGGGTTGGGCTGGGAAAGACTAGATTGAATGTCAGTGGGCTTAAGGATCAAAAATGATATTCACCAGGGATAAATGAGAAAGTTAAGTAATTGTAGCATCTTGAATCTGTTAGTTGTTTTATAATTTACAGAATATTTCTACACACCTCATAGTTTCTTCCTACAGTAACCAGGAAGGAAAACTGAATCATCAGAGTGCATGGTATGGGTGGAATTGTGTCTCTCCCCTACCTACCCCCTCCCCACAAAAATTTTGTTTAGTAAATCCTAACCCCTATACCTATCATCATTAAGGAGTCCTGGTAGTGTTGTGGGATAAGCATTGGGCTGCTAATCATAAAGTTGGCGGTTCAAACCCACCAGCCACTATGTGGGTGAAAGATGAGTTAGGGTATAGTCGCAGGAACCATTCTACTGTGTCTCATAGTGGGTTTTATACCTGTCGTTAGGGATATCCTGTTGTCAGGCACATGACTGCTAGCCAAAGGATTGATAACTAGAACTCACTGCCTTCTCTAGGGAAGAAGAGTATTACAGTCTGCTGCAGTAAATATTTACAGCCTCAGAAACTTTGTGAGGCAATTCTACTTTGTCCAACGGAGAGACACTGTGGGTTAAAATCCAACTGACTCAATGCCAATAGGTATCCCTGTGGTTATAATCCCATTAGGGAATGGATTTCCTTTGTAATGTTACTGAAACAGTCTTCGTGTGAGGTGTGATTTGAGGGTGTGTGTGTGTGTGTGTGTGTGTGTGTGTTATAAGAGATTAAGGAAGGGAGTGAACAGGTGGAGGAAGAGTGGTGCCCACCCACATGAAGATCACCAGGAGCATAAGCTCAAAAGAAATAAAGACCTTCCTCCTGAGCTGACACAGAGAGAAAGCCTTCCCTGGAACCCACACCCTGGTTTGGGTCATCTCGCCTTCTCAACTGTGAGGAAATACATTTCTGTTTGTGAACGTCACCCACTGTGGGATTGTCGGTAGAGCAGCACTGGGTAGCTAAGAAAGTGCACCAGCAATAATTTCCGTCTGCACACATAGATATTCAACACATGCATCTTACTTTGGGGAGCACATTAATATCTCTTTTGAACTCCCAGCCCTCATGGGAGACAGCACACTTAGGGAACTCTCCCTTTCTCCAGAAAGGTTTGGGGGAGTAAAGAATTGGTAAGTGAGGGCAAGGGTATCTGGTTGTCGGTTGTCACAGGTAGGCATGGCAGGTCAGCTGTGCCTCACGGAGATTGGCTCTGCTGTCTCCACACCAGATGAGACCCTGAGCTCCTTGTGCGGTTGCTCTGGTTGCATGTCCTGGGTGCCCCCACAGCCTGCCCACCTCCTCTCCTGTGTCATGTCGGGTTCTCTGGTAAATCAAAACCAGTGCCGCTGTTGTGTATACATATATAGAAGAGATTGATAACAAGAAAAGGCCTACACCGTTGTCAACGTAAGGAAGTCCATTTCCGTTGGAGTTGTCAGTTCAGATAGAAGCCTGACTTGCATAGCTATGGAAGCTATATGATAAGGAATCAGGTGGGCCACAGGGTGGTGGATGCAGAGGTAAATGAATCCAAGGTCAGCCAGATGAATCTGAGGTCAGCAGTTTGCTGATGGCTTTTGGGATCAGCAGAGAACAGGAGAGAAGGGACCGGACACAGGCTCCAGACCCAGTGGAAGGGAATGGAACCGGGGTGCTCAGCTCTGCTTTGGATCTCTCTCTTCTCCAAAAGGCCACACTCCACGGAGGTGTCACTAGGCTGCAACATGAATGATGGTTGGGCTCCGCCCAGGAGCGTTTAGATGACATGAACTAACCATCATATTTGTGGGGCTGGGGTGTGGACTGCAATCCTTGCAGAGACGTATTAAGTGAGGGAGAGGGTGCCTGGTTGTTGGTTGTCACTGGTAGCCACGACATGCCCTGGGTGTGAAACTCTAGCTGAAGGGGAAATCTGTGGGATTTGGGAACGTTTAGCCTTTCCTACTTGCCATGCCTCTCACAAAGCAGTGAGCCAACTCTCTGCTCAAAGGGGGATCAAGAAAAGGGATGACTATGTAGGGGATGAGAAGGCTGGGATTCATGAGTTGATTCTGACTCAAGATGAACCTGTAGAACAGAGTAGAAGTATCCTATTTAAAGATAGCAGACTGCCTTCATCCTTCTCCCAAGAGTCGCTGGTAGGTTTGACCTGTCAGATTTTGGTTAGCAGCCTAGAGTTTAAACCCCCAGGCTGCCAGGTCTCGTTCTCTGAATATTGTCGCTTTGAAATCCTATCCTGTGGAGCAGTGCGCCTTTTCTACCGGGTCACTGTGAGTGAGGATCTATCTGAAGGCATGCATTCGGGTTTGTTTTTAGACAGTGTGAACAAGCATGGGGATGGGGGATCCAATTCTGCAGATTCTGACTAACTGCAGAGTTCCTCAAACATGTCTGAACCTCTGTTTGCGCTTCTGTGAGAAGTGATCCTCATGCCTATCCAGCACCTCCTTTATAGATGCTTTAAGGAAAGGTGACTGCCTGCCATGACACAGGAAATTAGTGCCTGCCTGCCTGCCTGCCTGCCTGCCTGATTTACTTCTTCCCCGTTCTCGCTCCTGTGAGACGTTGATCACTTCTGCCTGTTGTCGTCTCCTGTAAAGAGCTACAATCTCTATAACCCACAGGGGCAGTTTCTGCCCTGTCCTTTAGGGTCATGCAGAATCAGAAAGAAGTTGGTGATAAAGATAGAGAGACTAAAGATACATTTTTTTAATCTATGAAGATTATTGAAACAAATGATTTAGAATTATGTAGGAGGACACAATGCAGATAAAAGTTTAATTTTCATTTCATGCATATTAGATTTTATGCTTTACAATGGTTAACAACCATTGTATTAACCTCTATGGTTACTAACCAAAGTGGTAACCTATCATATTGACTCACTGTTTATAAAGCAGTGAATGGCTGAGGATACTGGCCCAGAAAAAAGGAGAAGCAGCACTGAGGAGCTTGGATGAAACTGTGTAATTGGCTCTAGAAGGAGCAGTACTTGGCTATAGCTATCTCTATGAAGGTAGAACAATCCCTATTAAGAGATTACATCATGTTCCAAATAATAAAAATAGTAAGTACATTTTATTATTACACTTGGTCGTGGCTGAGCTGGACTTCAAATGCAAGACTTCTGAATCTAAGATCTTTTAAATTCTTCTAACGGTGTCATAGTTGACCTCCAAGAATTTGGAAGTGTATTCAGACCACACAGGTGTAAGCATTGACTAAATTTTTACTCTAGAGTAATTCTCATGGACTTACTGATAAAATGTCTGCCCTTTACATTTACAGGAAATATAAGCAAAAATTGTACAAGTGATGGCTGGTCTGAGATGTTTCCCGATTTCATAAACGCATGCGGCTATAATGACCTTGAGGACGAAAGCAAGGTAAGATTCTCTAGGTGGTGTCTTACTTTTTAAAAATTGTGATTTGGGTGAAGGTTAACAGAGAAAGTTGGTCTCCCGTTCAACAGTTCCTACACATTTTGATTTGTGACTTGGACCGCAAGCCCCACAGTATAATTGCACTCTTTCCACTTTCTCCTTGGGTTTACGATGTCCCTCCATTCTTTCCATCCGTTCCCATCTTTTGAGCTTTATTGTGGGGCGTATGCCACTCCTTTTGATCCAGTGTATATGGTTGATTGTTTTAAACAAGTTCCTTCTGCCCTGGTATTACTATTCACCTCGTAGCCTTGTCTAAGGTTCGAATGAAAATTGTCACAGAGGTAAGTTCACTACTGGACTTGAAAGAGGTCCAAGGACCATAATCTTGGGAATTCCATCCGTCTCTAGCAGATCAATAAGCCTGTTGTGTATTTTTCATGATTTTGATTTTTGTTCTACATTTTTAAATCACTCTTTGCAGGACCTCATTGTGATTACTTTCAGAGCCATCCGCAGTGGTGGTGGCCGGGCGCCATCTAGTTCTTTTTGTCTAGGAGTCCTGGAGGCTGGCGTTCATGCTGTCTGTTCATGCTTTGGACTGCCTGTTCCTTTGTGTCTTTGATTGTCTTCTGTTTCTTTTTGGCTCAGATGGGAAGAAAACAATAGCTGCACCTCAAATGGCTGTTCACAAACTATTAAGACCCCAGTCTTTACTCAGTAAAGTGAGATGTAGGATATTGCCTTTGTGAACTGTGTTGCAATAGTTGACGTTAGTGTTCCCCCATCCCCCACCCCCACCCCAAGACTATGTTCATGTGCCCCCTGCTCCAGTGAATCATTTCCCTAATGTGTTTGGGTATAGCTAAGACATTTCTCTAACTTTGCCCTGAGTGCTCTACTATATTCATGAATATATTTGCAAAACATAAAAATAAATATGTAGAGATATCCTCTATCAAATCTATATTATATATACATACACGCACATATATATGTATTCTTGGGTATAGTCCTAGTCATGTTCTTACCCCTGTTCGACTTGAGTGTTCATGTGTACACTCAGAGATTATTATCAGTTATTGCAGGATTGTGTATGTAACAGTGTTTGCCTTTATTGTCTTGGATGCCTGTGCTTCTCTAGTGTCTTCCTTGGCTTTGGTCATTTTGTGTTGACGTCCCACTTAGTTCATATTACCTTTCCCTCCACCCAGGTTAATCCATGTCTACCCCCCAGGTAGTGGTTTACCCTTCTTTCCCCTCCAACATTTGGTGACCTTCAAAGAATGCTTCTTTCTCTGTGTGAAACTTTCCCTGACTTTTTATAATAGTAGGCTCATGCAGTATTTGCCCATTTGTGATTGACTGATTTAACATTGACATCATGCCCTCCAGGTTCATCCATGTGATGAGGTGTTTCTCAGGTTGGTAATTATTCTTCAGTATTGCTTAGCTTTCCATTGTATGCTTGTACCATAGTTTATTCATCCATACACCTGTCAATCAATGGACACTTGAGTTGTTTCCATCTTTTTGGTTTTTTGAATAATGATGTGAAGAACCTGGATTACATATATTTGCTCACATCAAGGCTTATATTTCTCTAGGATATGTAATTAATCATGAGATTGCTGGCTCACATGATACTTCTTTTTCCATCTTACAGCCCACCAGCAGTATATGAGGGGTCCAGTCTCTCCACACCTTCACCAGCATTTGTTGTTGTTGTTGCTTTCTTTTGTTTGTTTTAGTTTTTGTTGTTTGATTTTGCAATTTGATATTCATGCTGGAGCGAGATGACGTCTCGCTGTTGTTTTGGTATGGATCTCTCTGAGGCTAATAATTATGAGCATTTCTTCATGGCTTTGTTTGTCCCCTCAATGTCTTTGGTAAGAAGCCTGTTCCAGTCCTCTGCCTATATTTTAATTGGATTGTTGGCTTATTGTTGTTGAGTTATTGAAGTTTTTATACAGTTTAGAGATTAATATCTTGTCTAATATATTGTTGACAATTCCCATTTTGGAGGCTTCTTTTTCTTTAAGTGAAATCCTCTAAGTATCTAAGTTTTTGGAGGTCCAACTCTACTCTGATTCTGCATTTTAAGTTATAGTTTATGGAATATTTATGTCCTATATTAGGGCATCAAAGATTGCCCCTCAGTTTTACATGTAGGACTTTGATCTATGTTGAGTTAGTTTTTGTGTATGGTGAGATATATGGATGCAGTTACATTTTTACACAAATGGGTATCCGTTTTTACCAGCACCATTGGACAAAGTGGCTTTCTCGCCCCCAGTTAATGTAATGGGCGTGGTCCCTTGTTAAAGATTATATGTACATAGGTGGATGGATTTACTTCTGGGTCCTCAATTCTGTTCCATCTGCCTGCGTGTCTGCCAATGTCTCAGTACCAGGCTATTTTGACAGCGTGTTTGCAGAGTAGGTGTAGAGATAGTGGAGTGTCCAAACTCTTGTGTTCTTCTTTTGTGATGATTTACTTAGATAGGAAGAAGGAAGTCCTCTCTTCTTCCTAAATAAAATTGGTGATTAGTGTTTTAATCTCCTTAAAAAATAATCCTCTAGATCAGGATTGTTATATCTGCAGATAGTTTTGGGTGGTATTGACATTTTCACAATGTTAAGTCTCCCTATTCATGAACCTAGTATATTCTTCCATTTCACAGGCCGTGGTTTCTTATGGTAGTTTTTGTCATTTTCTTTATATAGGTCTTTTGTGTCTCTAAGGAGCCTGGTAATGTAGTGGATGACCTGTTAGCTTGGTAACTTCAAGGTCTGCAGTTCAAACTGACCACCTGCCCTGTGGGAGAAAGATGAGGCTTTCTGATCCCATCAAGATTTGCAGCTTTGGAAACCCAAAGAGGTAGTTCTGCTCTGCCCTACAGGGTCACTATGCGTTGGCATTAACTTGATGGCAAGGCTTGGTTTGTGACTCATTCTATTTACTTTGGAGCGCATCATCTTTTGAGTAGTTACTATAAATGGTATTGTTTTCCTGCTTTTCTTTTCAGAGTTCCCTTCATTAGCGTAGGGGAATCTGACTGATGTTTGTACAGTGAAAGGTATGACAGTGGGCATATCTGACCTCCATATCTGGCTGCCATATTGCCATGAAGCTAGAGGCAGACAAGCCTCCATAAGTCCATCTTTCCTTACAATTTTGATTTTCTTCCCACACCACTCTCCACCTGTGCTGGGCTTGTTAATTCAGTGCAATGGCCACACAGAACTCACAGGCATGACTCATCATTGGTGGCCGGCGGGGCCGCGGGATGGTGGTGGTGGTTGTTATTAGGGAAGGCAGTAGATTACTTCAAGTCAGGATCAGCATACAACGAGGATACAGTCATTGCTCTCAGCCAGCAGCTAAGTCTCTTTCAGCCACATGGCTTTAGCCCCTCAGCCACCTGGAAATCAAATCTCTCCAGTCCTCAGTGTCTCAGCCACACGGTCTCTTATCCTTGGCCTTCATAGGCCAGAAATCTAGACTGCCTGTTGCTCTGTCCCATGGTTGCGACATAGGCTCAAGCCAGAAGAAGAGAACACACCCCATGGTCGCAGTGCTGTTCTTCGGACTCACCATGCCACATTCTCTGTCGTGTACAGCCCCAGTGGCCTCTGCTGCTTCAGACAGAGATCTTGGATGTGATCTTCCAAGGTCCTCGGGGTTTCTCTCTGTGACCACTTCCAAGGTGGTTCGTTGTTAAAGCCGAGAGGCGGCAATGAAGACAAACTCTCCTCACCTGGTGTTATACGTGTCCTATGTGCATCGTCTCCTCTGAGTGTTACACGTGCCCTGTCTTCAGAATCCCTCCTAATAGTTCTGTGGCAGTTGCAGAGACCTAGGTAGAGGATCCCTATTAAGCTGCTTCACCCCACTGCTGCCTGTAAGTTCGACTTGTACTGTGCCGCTCTGCTGGGTCCTTCTCTCAGCACCCGTGGTTTTTTGATTGAGTCTGTGGGATCTTCCATCTGTAATTTCATCACCTGCACATAGAGATCATCTTCATCCCTCTTTGCGATTTGGATGCCATGTTTTCCCTTTTCTTACCTTATTTCCCAAACTAGGCATTTGAATACGATGTTGACTAAGGGTAGTGATAAAGGACACCCTTGTCTAATTTCTGTTCACAAGAGCAATGTTTTCACTCTCTCTCCATGAATGGAATGCTCTTTTGTGATAAAACCCTGAGTTATGTTCAGGAGTTGCCCTTCTATTCCTTTTTTACTGAACATTTTTATCAAGAATGAGTGTTGGATTTTCTTAGATGCCTTACCTGTGTTGTTTGATGATTGTTACCTAACAACAAACAAATAAACATATGTGGGGACCAGAGCAAGCCAGACTGTGCTGGAAATGTGGTGCCCCCACTGTGGGAGCCACTGCCAAAGCCAGAGGGTCAGGTGCGAGCACGGAGGGATGCCGAGATGCAGAGGGCAAGGTAGCCACTCACTCAGCAAGCTTTGAAAAAGTGGGGAGTGGAAGAGGAAGTAAAAAGAAAAGAAGAAACACAGAGTGGGAAGATGGAAGAGGTTTAAAAAAAAGAAAGTAGCCCAGCACTAGCACAAGGAGCATACACTACCACCCAGAGACGGGCGAATGTTGCTGAACACAGAGAGTGGGGGGCATGGGCAGTGCCTGTTCAGGGAGCACCAAAAGAAATGGGGCAGGGAAAGGAAAAAGAGAAGATGATGATGGAAAGACTAAGGAGAGAAAGAAAGAAGGAGAACAGAGGGTCAGCAGTCCAGTACTTGGAAATCTGCTAGCTGCTAACCGTGGCTTCAGTGGGAATGCTGCGCTCTTCTGGGGGAGTACACAGCTAGACCAGGGCGGTGCTGCTAACCCGAAAGGCAGTGGTGGGAAGGAGGGATTCCCACTCTGGAGGTTCAAAACAAAAACAAAAAAAAATGAAAAAGGGGAGGGGTGGGAAGAAACAGGGTGGGGGTGGGGAAAGGAAAGAACTAAGAGATAAAGAGAAAGATCA